ATAATCTTTGCAATCAGGAAATTTAATACTAGGAAGAAATTAATCCCTTCTTGCAATGCATCAACTAATTTAAAAACCATCTATGAATTAAACAACAATATGTGGCTAAACCTTTGGAAATATCAGGTAAGAATGCATTTCTGAATCCTYTAAGGCATGCTGAAGTAGAATTTGTAGAGATGGGCAAACATGAGTGTGTGGTATTGTAGTATGTATGCCCTAGATTGCTACATATTTTTTAGATATTTTATTTTATCTTTGAATATTTAAATTTTCAAGATTAATTTAGAGGTATCTTATTTTCTGTTCACTCAAAAGAGTTCAGCACAGTAAAACTTAAAACTTTAACCAAGAAAGAAGATTCCAGGATGCTCATTATGGAACAATAATCTTTTTTATCCTAAACCCCTTTTTTTCAACATATTGAGAGTTTTAGCCACATGCAGAAAAGAAGAATTCTTTTTTTGCAGATTTAGGATTGCTTTTGTTTCACAGCAGGAAAATAAAATGACATAATTATATTCTCTGCTCAAAAAAAAGCTTATTTTCTTTTCTAGAAAAGAAGTAGAAGATAAAACTCCTTAGGTAAAAAAAACAGTGTCATGGACACTGTGGGTTAATACATCTGTTCTAATTAACATTAGCCACTAGCATAGTGAAAACCAAGGCCACCAAAGCAATTTTTTCTGTTGCATGACAACTTGCTCACCATCTGGCATTAAAAATATTTTCATCTGCAGAAACTAGGAAAAAAAACAATGCAAATTATTCATGACATTTCTGAAAATTAAGGAAGAAAATTGGACTGTGCTATGGTTAATGAATCTGGTAAATAAAGCGGGGGAAATGCAGTGCAACAAGACGTCTTAGGACGGGGGASTTTCAGCATTAATGGAGATGGTTAATGGCCACGCGATGGCAGCAGAGGCTGTGGAATTAGGGATGTTTTTAACACTAAAGCACGGATAAACAGGCTAAACAGTTCCTACCTGGTACTTCAGACTCCAGAAAATATACATTATATACATTTTTACTTAAAGAAGTGGCGTGTTCATCTGATCAGAGGTTTCTGTAGAGAGGTATTACATACTTTGCAGTAAAAAATAAAAATTACATTTGGGGAATTTTTTTTTTCCATTAAGGCATCATTTTTCAACTCATTGCTTTCTTTCTTCCTCAGTTACTTGAGTTAATTACACCCAGAAGAGTAGGCTTATATCGATAAAAGCAAGGCAGTTGCTTCCTTTTTCCWAATTTCTTTTCCTAGTACTTTTGTCCACAGGAAAAAACTGCAAAACCACTCTTGGGGAAAACCAGAAAATTAAAATCTAGAATGCTTTCAGTTTTCAAGAGGAGGACTAAAAAAACTTGCTTTTTCTAAAATATAGTCTTGAGCTAAGGAGGTAGAATTTTAGGACTCAGATCAGTATAAAGTAATAAGCTCTACCTTTGTACTTTTAAAAGAAAACTACCATCTGCTCATTATATCCAAACTAGATGTTSTTTCTCAACTCCTAGGAAGCTATTTATATATAGCCTTCATATGACAAATTCTTAGAACTCAGGATTTGTGCAACATAGTAAACAAAACCTCTTAACTCCACAAGTTAAAAATTATCTTTCCAAGAAGTTGARWTTTTTTTCTTCTGAAACATACAAARGTGAGCCTTTCACATGGAATTCTTTCCTGCAAAAGGCACAGTCCCCTTTCTGCATTATGTGTTCTAGATTCTACACTGCAAATTCAGTGTAATTTCCAGCTTCATCAAACAAGACAGTTCAGAAAAAACTTCTATCAAGGCTTTTCTTCAATCCATGCAAATACTTATATTAAAATTTCCTTCTGGAGCAGGGCATTTTACAGATCTGAAAGGCAACCAGGCAGACTTTAGGCAAGCAGCTTTCTGGATGGCTTAGATGGAAAGGAACATGGACTGGAATTTGTCCAATTCCTATTTCTTGAGGGTTGCCCTACTCTCCAGAACAGTGGCAGCTGCTCTTACAAAAAGTCAATATACTTTTGAACAAAACCAAGGAGTTTACAGAGTTCACAGCACTGAACTCTGCATACACCAGAGATAGTCTCTCTTGGCACCTCATCGGATTCCTCCAATATGGCTGGAATTGGTGAGGAACACCATAATCATCAGCTGGAAGATTGACTCAGCAGTATGATAATCTTGGGTAGCCAGAAAGGAACTTGTTCAGTAATTCGTTTTGTGCAYCCAGACTCCTCCACTGGATGCATATGAATGAGTCTCTGAAATTGCAGGCGAGTGTACRTAAGGCACTGTGGAGTCCCCTCCTCCAGCTTGTGATTCAACTGCTCTGTCACAACTCCCTGAGGTGTTCAAAGYAAGCACTGCCTCACAGGGCAGGCAACATTGTTCAGGGAAATCAGCCGTTGGCAGGTGAGCTTTGGTTGCTCCTGATGCAGCAGTTTAAGGCATTACTRCTCTGCCAGTCTGAAAAATTCCACCAATTCCATTCATCCACTGGTCCTACGTTTGAGGAGGATTACAAGTATGATTTTTAGATTATAGGCCTGAAAAGCAAAGAAATAAATACTGATTATTAAACWGAATATAGAATATAAAATATAATGTATGCTTCAAAGAGATAATACAATAGAATAYTCGGGGTTCTGGAAAACCTAATCATGTAGCCAATGATAATTTTGCACCTTCCACAACTTTGTGGCCCTATAGAAATAGAAATGACAGGAGAYTAGAGAGCAAAAACCAATCGTGTAGTCACTGTCAAGTGAATGTATCAGACCAGTTTATCCAGCTTTTACTTTCTACCACACCAAAATGGTATTTTGAGATAGTAAGGACTCCCTGTCAGCTGTTAGGGGAGCATTCACATTCAGTCCAATAGATGTTGGGTTCCAGTTATTACCTATGTTCTGTGTATCTAAGACACCACTGAAATAATCTAGGCATCTTTAGAGGTTCTGGGGTTTGCAAGTAAATCATCTGATAGAAAAAGCAGATGAGTTGTAGGAGAGACAGGGTTTTTTGTGATAGCATAAATCATCAGGAGAAGGGTTATTGGGAGAGAGGAAGATCCAGGATAGTATCTACCCACATGCATTGCTGCTGAACTGCAGCAGCAGACTCTCTGAAGGTCTGTAATTTAGGATATATCTTTCTTGGAATAACTAATGTAAGTGATGAACTTTTCAGATTCTCTCCAGGAGATCTAACGCTGATCTCAGACTTCATTGGTTATTTCTGGCATACATTTCCTGTTTATGAAAAGCCTTTTTTATCTAACTGTACCAGAGAGTAATAGAAAAACATGCTCTGCATTATCCTGAGGCATGCATGAACCTTATACTTACCCACAACTATCAAAGTATAAAAAAGTAGAGTGAGGCAGATGGGAAAATTATGCTCCTAAGAGCCCAGCTAGATCCTTTGATTTACCAAGAAACCTCCAGTATTCCTGGGAAATTCTGCCATGTACAGTGTAACAAGCTATTACAAGCTGTGGGTAGCTTTTATATAAGGAGAATCATCTGCCATAAAACCCACACTGCCTGGCAATTGCATGGTATCTGTTAGCATTTTAAGGTTTTGGCTGCAGGAGCAGAAATTGGACACTGCTTGGGATTGCCTGTTATCAGGGTACATTTTCACATTTGAGCCTTAGCATGGGTTAGGAAGGAATAAATTATGTGAGGAATGTGGTGGCCTGGTAGTTACATGTTCATATCATTCRACTGTGTTATACATTTTGTAAAAACTGCACAGAAGAAGTCAGGAGATGACCTGATAGATTCTTCCAGATGCATTCATAACCACAAAGGTGGAAGAAAGCASAGAAACAGTAAAAATAACCAGGGGCACAAGAGTAGCTGGGCTGTCTTCTATCAGTCATATCCCTGTTGACTAATAAATGGTTTCCTTTTGTCTGGTTCAGACTTGTCTGTCCTTTAAGATGGATGCTTTTAAAAAGGTGACACAAAAAAAAAGAGAGACAAAAGCAGTGGAGGACCACTTTTGAAATGAAGAATCATATTCTGGAAAAGATTAGCAAGAATATGTGGAGTTAAAGGAAATCTTTGAGTGTCATGAGAATGCTAATGAAGAGGGTAGTTTATGAAGAACTGCATTGCAGAAATTGGCTCAAAGTTTGAGCAGATTCATCTCCCGTGAGGGATGCACCGAGGTGGGAAAGCAGGGGGAGGTACTARTTCCTCCCTTTGGCAGACTGGAGCACCTGAACACTAGCTTGAAATGCTCCTGGGCTACAAAAGTATGGCCCCACCAGACTCACCTCAATAGCATGCAAGACTCAAGTCCACAGTTTGAAATTAAAATGGAAATTGGAGGACACAATAGTAACTCAAAAATGATGCAACCACTACACAGATTTGGAATCATAGAATTGTAGAATTGTAAAATGCCCCATCCCTGGAAGTGTTCAAGGCCAGGTTGGATGGGGATTTGARCAACCTGGTCTATTGGAAGATGTCCCTGCCAATGGCAGGGGAGGYTGGAACGAGATGATCTTCAAGGTCCCTTCCAAACCAAAYCATTCAATTATTCTACGGTTTACCTAAAGTAGAACGCTCATGACTTAGTTGATACAATTTAATTGACAATCCCTCTGCCACTGAAGCAGAGGCGGTAGAAGCAACTTGTGGATGGAGCAGAGCGGTTCGGGAAGCCCGGCCGTAGGAGCGGCTCCGCCTCCGCCACCACACCATCACCTCAGGGCCGGGCGGGGCGGCGCCGCAGCTCTCGGCGGCAGGACTCCACGATTCCAGAAGGAATGGCCAGACCGGCGACCTGGAGAAGCCCCAAGCAGTCCTGTCTGCAAGGATAAACATCCCCTGCTCGCTGCACCGCTTCCGCCCCTTCCCTCGGGCACAGCCCCGGGGCCGGTCCTGGCAGGGCGAGCGGGGCAGTGCCCGCCGCGGCTCCGCAGGGGGCGCTCGAGCGCCGCGCCCGCCGGGGAGGCCGCGCATGCGCGAAGCGGCGGGGCGGGGGCGGCCCCGCCGGTCTCCCTGGAGCCGCCGCCGTCGCGGCCGGAGGTCCCGGATGTAGCGGCGGGAGMGGGGCCGGCGGTGGGCGCCGCTGGGGCTGGGGAATGGGCTCGTAGGGGGCGAGGGAGGAACGAAGGAAGAGAACGAGCAAGCGAGCCAGCGAGCGAGGAGAAGTGCCGGACGGAGMCTCCCGCCCGGCGCCCGAAGCAGCCGCCCCCATCGGGGTCCCCCTCCGCCGCYTGCGGGCTGCGCGCCCCCTCCATCCGCCCCGGGGCGCCGCCGTCGAGATGAGCAGCTCGCGGAACAACCGGGTGATGGTGGAAGGAGTCGGGGCCCGGGTGGTCCGCGGCCCGGACTGGAAGTGGGGAAAGCAGGATGGCGGCGAGGGCCATGTGGGCACCGTGCGCAGCTTCGAGAGCCCCGAGGAGGTGGTCGTGGTGTGGGACAACGGCACCGCCGCTAACTACCGCTGCTCCGGGGCCTACGACCTCCGCATCCTCGACAGCGCGCCCACCGGTGAGCGGGGCTGGGAATGGAGGGACCTCACCCCCATGGCGGTGGGGCCGAGGGGCAGCACCCCGGGGTGCTGGGGGTCCCGTCCTGGAAGCATTGCGTCCTTCCGTCCCCGTTTAGAGGTGCACCTTTCCCTAGGATTTGGGCTGATGGGGGGGGAARTCAGGCACCGTTCCCCCCTCCCCGCGCGTGGGTGTCTGTTCTCGTCCGTGTGTGTGTGTGTGTACWCTCSAACTTGGGAKARATCTACACAAATCTACGGCGTGGGGCCGCGGGGACAGCGAAGTTGTCCCGGGACTGCTAAATTGGAGTAGACAAAGCAAAAGTGGTTTGCCACCGACARCAGGCTCCCGTTGTGCTGGGGAAGAGGTGGAGAGAGGAAACCGRGAGGGTGATACATCAAGGTTTGGGTTTGTTTTCACACTCCAACCTCCCCGACTTGAATTTATATTTGAGAGGAGTTTTGTGAAATAGTGGCAGTAGTCATCCTTGAATCAAGTATAGGGAGGATTATAGAAGAGATGGGTTATACCTTTTTTGTAAGGATTACTTGAAGTTCTTGAAAAACGGTGGTTTTTTTGCCTGTAGTCAGCACGTTGCCTTTTATCTGTATTGCTAGAGCTGATGTAAAATAGTAAAGGTACTGGGAGGAAAAAAGTGCATTCGTTCATTCTTTTAACTGCTTGGCTGCTTGGTATTTATGCCTTAAATCCAGTCATTTTGGACAATGGAATTTGATCTGCACTGACATTATGCGGCAGTGTTAGTATTGCAAACACTGCAGGGAAATGTTCGTTACCACCTGTTTTTACTGTGAAAACTCACGCAGAAAAATATAGATACTGTTAAGTTTCATCAGAGATATTGTGAGGTGACTATTGCGCCGATCAGGATTCTCTTAGTTAATGAGATGTTTGGACTGATTTGTTGAGTACTTGGGCTATACTGCTTTTGTAATGTGCCATTCATTTAGARCATGATAGAGAGACCATCTTTGTGCCAGCTATGTGTAGTGTTACAGCAAGGAAAATTATGGCAGTAGGTTGAAGATAAAAGACTTTTGAGGAGACATAGTGGAATTCATTCTAATTAATTACAAAAAACRTTGCTAAGAAAAGAACCCCAAATATTGCATAGTTAGTCTTTTGAGATGGATTTAATTTTTCAGTGACTGAGTACCTTCCTCTCTGCTGGCATGATTATGATGTTTTTTTTTTAATTTTTTTGGAAATAGACTTTAAAACAAGAAAGAGGAGTCTTTCAGATTGTCAGTCTTAGTCTTGCAGATGTTTACGCTTTGAAACTTTACGTGTGTTTGATGTGCTGTAGAAACCAGTGGGACTGCTTCTGCTTAGAGCTGAAATGTATGCATAAATGTTGCATATGAGGCTCGAATGCTCATTGTTCTAGCCCTGTCTGACGTATTTGCAAGCAGATGGTGTCCTCTTAGCTTCATCTGGGAGGCTAGACTTAATACTCAGTTTCAAAATTGATCATGTTTTCGTTTGGGTTTTTTTGCTTTATTCCTTCTGATTTTCATTTCTGTTTATATTTTGTGTTTATGTATTAGAATTAGAACTTCTGTTTCAGATAGGATTGTATACATTGTGTCACAGACATTGCTGTTGTCACGCTTAGCAAAGTGATATTTCTCTTCCTGAGGTTTCTGGCGTTCCCAAGCATCATCCTCATGGAACTGTTGCATGGAACTACCCAGGGTTGCTTTTTGATAGAGGGGGTTACTTTTGATTCCTTAGAGATAGAAAGAGTAAAAATCTGTACAGTAGTAGTAATAAAAGGGCAAAGTTAATGGAATTAGGCTGCTGTCAGTTTGGACTGAAATCCTGGGTTTGCTAGTGATTCATTTTGTAGTCTTGTCTAAATCACTTCCCTTCTTCACCTTTTTTAACTAACTTATTTTTTTCTCCATTGGTAGAGACTCTGCTTTGTTTAGAGTAAGTCAGTAACTCTGATTTTGGGTGATAGTTTGGTACTTTCTCCAGGACATTTATGTATGTGAGATTAGGTGACAGGAATTTCTTGTGTAGTATTAATAACGATGATGTTGAGCAAGGAAATGCTATAAAATATGGGGTGGCTTTTTGTTTGATACTTAATGAAGTATATGTTATGGCTCTTATAGTTTAAAATGAAAAAAAATCTCTGATTCATTCATTTACAATCACAATGTTAATATAAGTTTATACTGAAAATAAATACTTCTATGTATTTAAGTAAACAAGTACAAAAAAAAGTATTAAAAGTAAAATGAAAAATTGGTTATTGTGGAGAGTTCTTTCTAGTAGGTATTCAAAACCAKTCTTGATGATAAGTTCTTAAAAAGTAATGCTTGCAGCCAGAGTTCCTGCTTTGAGTTTGAGGCCTGTGCAGCCATGAACAGTAGTGATGCATCAGAAACTTACAATGTTATAAAAGTAATGCCATTCTTTAAAAAAAAAAAAAAAAAAAAAAAAAAAAAAAAAAAATAAAAAAAAAAAAAAAAAAAAAAAAAAAAAAGGAAAAGCAAATTGAGTTTGATACATATATGTGCATAGATATGTGTATACCAGAACTATGCTTCATAGACTTAAAAAATACACTGGTTTTGTCTTTCAATGGTTGTAGGCTATTGCCAGTATTGTGACACTATGTTAACATCTTATAAAAATTAAATAGCTTTGGTGCTAAGGTGTTAGGATGGKYTTCTTAAAATTATCACTCATTYACATGAAGAATGTCTTGGAAGCTCTTTGCTTYAGATGTAGTCATCTGGGTCACGAGGGACTTGTGATATGAAGTTTGGGGTTGTTTTGGTTATGTCTAYTAAGCTAGCTGTACTAACTGCCTCTTGGTGTGGCCATATTTACATTGGCCAGCATTGCTTTAAATGAGGCAGAGCAGTTGAGAGGGTAAATCTCTTTTTGTTTATCTTGGTAAACCAAGGATTTGAAAAAAACTGAAATTTCATATAGAAGGAAAACTTCAGGTAGATTCTGCATAGTGAGCTCCTCAGTGGAGAAAGTGGTGGGATGTGATACATCATCAGTGCAGTGTGTTTGTTCAATTACTTGAAATAAATCCTGGGTTTTTTTTTTTTGTGCAGTAGCCCTTTGCCAGGATCTACAAGTCTGGAGAGTCCCCTTTTTTTGGTAGCGTTGTGGAAAAGAAACAGAAATGAGTAGTTTTCTGAGTTGCTGAAGAGAAGCAAGGATATAAACCCAAGCTTTATATCTAAAAAATAAGGCAGCCTTTTGCTTGAAGTACAGGCCAGACAAGTAGCATGTTTGTAGAAAGCAGATCTGGCTATGTTCACATAATACTCATGAGAATTACGGAAACTTTTTCTATGTATTCTTTCTGAAGATTGGCTTTCTATAGAGCTTAGACCAGAAATCATTTGTCATTCATTTCCTCTTTTATATGGTTGGTTCARAGTAACAATATTATTTTCCTGCTGAAAATATTTACCCAATTGTGCTTGAGTAAGGGGAGGTAGCAAAGGGTCTGGGGTCAGGAAATGGAATCTTGGTAAAGAATTTTCCCCCAGCTGGAGTGTGCATCAGTGCAGTATGGAAAGCATTATGTGCTGTATTCTGGTGATAYTGAAAATTTAGGTATTATCTGTGAAAGATGAGGAGTATTCTGTACTTGTATTTATAGTTTTTGTACCTGAAAAACTGTATAATTGATCATGAAGTCAAACACCTTAAAACATTTTAAAAGATAGACCACCTACGATTTATCCTGTATATTGTTTGTTCTTTTTTTTGCACATCAACTGTAATTTATGGAAAATTGTCTTAGTCAAGATGTTTTTAGTGTCTATTTATAAATACTTACAGGAGCTCTCACAAATTACAAAATTGAATGATTTTCTGAGTAGTGGTACTTGGGAGGCCTGTTTTTTTAATTAAAACTGTTCTTTGTTCTTCCTGCCCTTCCCCCATATCTCTGACACAATAATCCTCTCCCTTCCTGTGTATCTTGTGATACCCTTACCAGATAGAACACATGCTTTAGCAAGTCTGGCRTTTTGTATCTATAATAATAATTGGTCAGCTGGCTGCTTCCAAACAGTTTATTTAATAGATGAGTTATGTTTGTGGGAATACCGATGGGAGTTTTCATGCAATTTGTCAGAATCCAAGTGGTTATCTCTAAGRATTCCTTGTTTGCAATTTGCCTGGAGTCTAACTGTAGAGTAAAAATTGTGGTGAAAGAATAGGAAGAACAAAACATTGTAATTGCTTTTTAAATTGTGAGTGTAAACAAATGAGCTTTTAAGTTGTGYATGGTAACTCTTACCTGATGGGAATATTGTCATTATGATACAAAGGGATTTTGGTTTTTTACAGTTCTGTAGAGAGTAATGACTCCATTGGAAACCAGATTTTGTTTGTTCTGAGAAGTGAAATCACTATTGGTGTCTTCTGTGTTTAACAGTGAGTGGTGTGGATTCCCCCCGTACATCTGATTTTACTGTTAAAATCCATTTATTGGATAGCTGTATATTGCCATCTAATTATCTTCAGTACAAAAGAAGAACTATTTGTAGCAAATTCAAATAGCAATTGGAGCAACATTGCTTTTATTTCCTTTCCCAACTGTAAGAGTGAGCATGGGTTTAAAAACTTGTAAAAGGTTGTAAAATTGATATATGATATCACTCATATCATATATGTATATATGAGTGGTGACAGAGGAATGGGTGGTAATCCAAGGAGGATTTGGGAAGAGATGACARAAGTGAAGATAACCATGGCATTAAGGTAGAAAACTAATATGAAATTCAAGTAGTAAAATTAATTTATGACAATTGGAAATCAGGAATAYTGAATTTTATGGTATACTAAGGGTGAACAGACATAAGGGAATGGCAGCTATTTAAAATAAGGCATGGTGAAAGGACACTTMTCATTATCTGGTTAGTTTTTGGTTTTTTTTAAGCATTTATGACACAAAACTTAATTTTTAAATTGCCTGGTTCTAAGAAATTTTTAAGAATATTTAGAAGTTTGACTTTTTCGTTATCTTCATTTAGAGAGCTAAAGTGCTCTTTTGATGCACAGCTGATCAGCTACAGGGCTGCTGTTTAAAGTTTTTATGGCACTTTAATTTATTCCAGTGGTTTAATGAAGGCATTCTTTCCTAATATAAACTTTGTAAAGTTTGTATTTCTCAACCTTTCTTAAACAGACTTCCTTTTGAAGAGGGGAAGAGTGTATGTGACAGATTTTGCTTTTGGGTCAGGATTTTAGTTTGGCTCCAGAGCCTACACTGGATCCAATCTCCTGGTTGTTCTTACATATTGATTTACATAATGAATGGTTTTGGGGCTCCTAAACTGCTTTGCTTTTTGGTCAAAGTAAATTGAAATAAATCTCAACGTTGATGAGCATTCGGGCCACTGGCATAGAGCCAAGCTAATGTGAAACACTGGAARTAATGTCTGCTTCCCTTCCCCTGGGTGTGTGAAGTGCCACCATCAGATCCTCAGTGCTGAGTAGGTGGTTAACTGGCAAATGGCGCCATGGTGATGCAGGGTGAACCCTTGCAGCCCATGAAGATCCCCAGTGGAGAGAGGATCCTCACTGCAGCCCATGCTTGAGCAGTGTTTTCCTGAAGGAATAAATCTTGTGGAGAGGACACATGATAGGGCAGGGAAAAAGTGTGAAGAGCTGTTATGCATGACCCTCCATTCCCCATCTGATCCAAAAGGATTGTCAAGCACTGGAACAGGCTGTCCGGGGAAGTGGTTGAATAAGCATCCCTGCAAGTATTTAGAAGACATGTAGGTAGGCATGGTGCTTAGGGATTTGGTATCGTGGTGATCTTGCTGATGTTGGGTTAATGGGCCTTTTTCAACCAAAATGATTGTGTGATTTTAATCGACCCTGTCAAGAAGCAGGGAGATAAAGGAGTTTGGAATGAAGAAGTGCAGTTGTCTCTGTGAAGAAGGTGAAGTGTAGGGAGAAGGTGTTTTGGTTTTGGTTCTCCTCACCATCCTCTTTTTTTTTTAAATTAGTTACAAATTTAATTTTCCCCAAGTCAAATATTTTTTGCGTGCAATGGCGATTGGTAAATAATCACACTTTTAGCTTGACCTAATCTGTTTCATTTTGTTTTCATTTCTTGTCCTGTTGAGGAAAGAAAATGAGAGATGGGTTGGGTGCACATCTGACAGTAAGCCAGGGTAAACGTACCACACTATTGTACCTATAATAGCTAGTCAAACTTACTTATTTTTAAGTTCTTTTAATCATCTTTAACACATATTATTTATTTCAATAATTTTGTTGGTATTATGACCATGAATAAGAGTTTAGTATCACATTACATGATCAGTAGTAGCATCTCATTTTACCCTTTTTTTTTAACAGATGAAGTTTAAGGTCTCTTAGTCCACTTTCACCAGAAACATACAAATCTACTTCTTTTTCCACATCTCTAGTGCAGTGGTTAGACAGTCTGTAACAGGATTACTTGCCTGCTCCTGCTCTGCAATTCTTTGTTTTTCATGCCAGTAGTGTTGTGCAGCATCTCAGAGAATGGGATTGGAAAACCAGTTCAGCTGAATATTTTTCCTCCTGACTGTTTTCCAGCCTGGTATGTTTCTTGATTCAGTTTGCATCTCAGCKCTGCAAAAACCTTTTGCTTGCATAATGGAAAGAATTGCTGACCATGGAGCAGCATGGTCAGGTGAGGCATGCACTGAAGTGGGTGTTGCTGCTGGAATCATGTTTCAGGGAATGGATGAAGAAAGGCCATATCTATCAGGGTGTATTTAGGGTTCTGTAAGATAGAGACGTTCCTTCATATCAGATACTTCAAGTACAGACATACAGTGTTCTTTTTTAAGTTCCAGACACCATGGTCAGTGAAATTACTTGAGTCAAATATCTTTGTATATTTTTTTTTCCTTGATCTTTCCTAAGAAAATTTTGGTGAACTTTTGCATAGTTGCTTTTGCCTCAACTGGCTAGAAATGTTTAGTTTTTGTTTAAGTTTACTGTGAGATGACCTATTCTGTACCACATGGTTCCTGATTATACCTCTCTTTTGCCCTTTTTCCTGCTGTTTGGTCAAATGGAAGAATCCTAWAGCACCCAATTCCTTGGTTCTTTTACATCCAAAATAAATGTATTCCTTGGCCAAATGTCTTCCCTGAAGTTCAGCAGGCATTAAAAAAATCCAAAGATGTGTAACTTTCTATGTGACATACCAGTTTATTAATCTGGTAGAAATAAAACCGAAACAAACCACCGCTCAACCCCAAGCACCAAAACTCGTTAGACTTTTTGTAGAAAGTGACAAAAAATACTAACAAGATATCTCAGTGCTTTTAATGCATCCCCTCTTGAAGACTTTGGCTTTGAAACCTAAGAAACAGTAAAATGCTTCAACATAATCCCCAGGGTGAGAGAGACATGGTTTGTCTGAGAGTCACGAAAGGACTGCATCTGTGTTGTAAAGAAATCTTAAAGTTATGTGGTACAGGAAGAGACTGARGGGTCTGGTGGTGCTCAGCCTGGAGAAGAGAAGGCTCAGGGAGATCTTATSCGTGTATATAAATATCTGATGCATGTAGTGAAGAGGATGGAGYCAGGCTCTTTTCAGTGGTGTCAAATGACAGAGGAAGAGGCAGTGGGCACAAACTGAAATACAGGAATTTCCACTGAAACATGAGAAGAAGCATTTTTGTTCTGGGGATGGTTGAACACTCGAATATGTAGCATTACGGAGTCTGTTCTTGGTGGTGCTTAAAAYTGTGACTGGATATGGGCAGCCAGCTCTAGTTTACTCTGCTTTGAGCAGTGGTGGTTGGAAGAGACAATTTCCAAAGGTTACTTCCAGCCTCAGCTATTACATGTTTCTGTGAAATGATCAAGCAAGAAGGCATTTCCTTCAGTTTTGCCTTTCCAACTGCTGATATTTCTTTGCTACAGATGGTTCAGCTCTTGGATGTAAGTGGCTAGTAGCTTTATAGTGAATTTGGCAGTCATTTCTGAAAGTATCTCTTCTGGAGGGGACAAAATCCGTTCCTTTTGCTCACTAATTTCACATTGATCCGGTTTTTTGTGTGGGTTTTTTTTTTTTTTTGTTTGAGTGTCTGGGTAAATTCTGTGTTACTCTAGCTTCTTAGTGCTCATTTCTGTCTAGTGCTACAGACTGAATGGTACCGCTTCTCTCTTCTGTTGCTCCATTTTTTTTCCAAACAGCAGCAGAATTTGATTTTTTTAAAAAAATAAACTTGTGGCTGTTCACTGTATTCAGAATGGGTGGATGGAAACACTGTGACTGATCATTTTCACTCTGCTGTAACTTGGCAAAGCKGTGAGACTAAAGTAGTCTTGGGATCAGTTTTTGCGGAAGGCTTGGCAGAGCCCGTGCTGGTGGTTTACATCTGGTCTGTCTCTGGCACATTCTTTTTAAAAACAAAACCAGAAAAACAGTAAAATGCTTAAAAAATGGTACCAGATTTTCATGAAGCTGATGGCATCTATCCAAGAAAGCTTAAATCTTTTTCTGTATAAAAAAGAATTAGAGACAAGCACTTACCTTTTTCGGTGTACAAAATGTGTAAGTCAAACCAGTAATTTTCAGGCTGCCATGCACAGTTGAGCACAGTAACCTTTGTGATATAATGTGTGTTGATAGCTGTGCTCCAGAGATAAAACTCTAGATTTCCCTTTGTATTTTGATAAATGCATTTCTGACCCTTTAACTTGTAGTTAAAARATTTCTCATTTTCTTTCTCTGCTTTGTATAAAGGGAAGGAAACAGACATAGCTTTCTCAGCTTTTTAAGCTGAGAGGAGAGATAGAATATTTCAGGGACAGACTGACAACTGGAGATGTGAGGTGAAGTCTGCTATCTTTTCCCCTCAGTGATATAGGCTGATAGTGTGTCACCAGCAGCCTTTATTTATTGTTACCTTTCTAGTATATGGTTTCAAATTATAATGGTGTCCAACAGAAGTCTATGTAGTGTTGCAGCAAAGTTTTTAGTTGTTTTGTTTTTTCTTTTTCCCTTCCACAGGTATCAAGCATGATGGGACTATGTGTGATACTTGTCGACAGCAGCCCATCATTGGCATCCGATGGAAATGTGCTGAATGCACAAATTACGACTTGTGCACAGTTTGCTATCATGGGGACAAACATCACTTGAGGCATCGTTTTTACAGAATTACCACACCAGGAAGTGAAAGGTAAAACCTAACTTTTTCCTCATGAAATCAAGTAGAAATAGATATTTGCGGTCAATTCTAAAACTGCTCATTTGGTTACAGAAACTTGGATTAGGTAAGAGAGTGGCTTGAGGTTAGATTCTGTTTCTGGGTCTGCCCCCTTGTGAGGGAGGATAGCTAGGATAAATCTTTGGATCTTGGAAAACATGGAAATTTTAGAAAGAATGGACTACAGAAAAAAAAAATAGGATATGATTATTCTGTTTGCTTAACCTCCTTGAAATGTTCCTAGATCTTGTGTTWTCATATAGCAGCTTTAAAACATAGTGTAAACACAATTATCTTTACACTATGTGTAATCACAAAATGATTTGTCAATGAATTTCTGAATGTGAAAGTTTAAGTAGGTTCAGTAATGGACAGGTATGGACAGACTGAGGGAACATACTCTCCTTGAAGGTTACGGAAAACAGAATGATCTGGGAATAAAAACTTGAACTGCTAAACTGCTCWCTACAGGAAGGAGAGAAAAGATGCTCTGAAGCGTTGTTCTACCCTTGCCTTGTTTTCATGTTCTTAACCATCTATTGTCATCTCTCAGTGGAGAACTCTAAACAAAATTGCATTTAGTGTGTTCTTGTGTGGTTGTTCTTGACTGTAAATACTTGTCTCAATCCAAAGCCCTTCTCCGTCATGATTTATCTACCAGTTAAATGAGAACATCAATATTTACCTCGTACCACATACTTGGAGAACTATGGAAAAACACTGTGTAAAGGCTACATGCTGTGGTGTCACTTCCATGATATGTTTCCTGAATGTTCTTTCATTAAATCATCAAAATATTTTTCTTTTTTTTTTTTATTTTTTGTAAAATGATAGTAGTTTGCATGTGACATGTAAGACGACATTTATTTTTTTCTGGGAGTTTAGGTTTACAAGTACGCTGTAACTTAACGATGTGCTTTGATCATTCTTACACAGTTGAGTGAAGTGGTTGAAGCACACAGTCTGAGTTCTCACATTGTGTCTTGTAGGGTGTGTGTTTATAATTAAGTGTTTGCTTAAAAGTTTTAACTATGGCTCAGATGCCCGGTGGCTTAATAAAGAAAAAAGTAATACCTCTCTCTCTTTTATTTTAAAAATCAATTAATTAATTAATTAATTAATTATTTTTTGAGGTTTACATCAGAATATGTAGGTACCAAATGGGTATCGTAAGCTTATTCTCATTTGGAATGTTGAATGCAGAACAAGACTTAGAAGCTGGACTTAGAAATGCTGGCTTAGTGTATTAAAGTAGAATAGGTGACAGAATACAAATYTRTTTTCTATKCATTTATYTTTTAAGTCTCATTTCTTTTGAGAGTGCTTGCTACGCGTTTTTTTCCTTAAGCTAAAGTTTCCTTTGTAGTTTTAAGAGGTTGGTTATGTTGAATACGGCACAAGTTTTAGTTTTGAAGATAGATTATACGCGGTGTATAATATTGGTGGTAATTTTTTKCATCTTGTCACTTTCTCCTTTTCTTTGTTTACTCTCTCTGAGCTCTTATATAGAAGGCAGCTTCTTCTGCCAAGGAGCTGTTTCTATTGGATCAAGCACAGCTGAGAAAAAGTGATGGAGGTTAACTTTTTCAGGGAGGAGAAAAGTGTAAAGCAGTGCTKTTGAATTTGAAGGGTGTCTCATAGGATAAATGGCAAGAGGCATGTAAGAATGCTTTGATGAAGGGAAGCATAAGCTCTTACTATTWTATTTTCGAGTCTGGRATATCATATGGGTGGCATAATGAARTAATSTATGCAGGKTTTTGTCTCAGKTTTTTWTCTCTTTTYGTAGGTATTGAGAACTTTTTAAGAAGCTTCTYTAAACAAGATTACTTTATGTTTCGAATTACTCTTCTATTTTTCTTACAAAAAAAAATAGCCAGTATTTTCATGTGCTCTTTGCATTGATGGTAACACTTGAACATTTTCCTTGTGTGCCATCTGCTGGATGTTAAAAGTTAGCGGGAGGCTGAGAAATTTCCTGAAGCAGTCAGGAAACATTCTGAATGTCAGCTGAGAAATACTTTTGTCTGGCAACATTTTCATGGCATGAAGTAAGAAGCCTTGTTGCGTGAAAATCGGTGGATTTTGAGATAAACATTTTCCTGCCTTTTCAGTTTTCTCAGCTTTTCTATTATTTCTGGTTAAATACTTGTGAACTGTGCTGTTTAGGCTTAYCTACTTCAGTCCTATTGAAGTGAAAGGGGAATGAAGAGGCTTGCTTTAAAAAAACACATAGTATGACTGAGAAAATGGATGTTAATATATTGAYTTAAATTTTTCAAGAGGTGCTATAAAAAGCATGTAGAAAATCAACTGAGGGRGGAGGGAAAAGAGACGTTCTTAATAGTATAATTCTGAATAAATTGACAGGGCAGTTGTGGGAAAAGTATTGTCCTAGAGTGCATCTAGGAGAAAAAAAAATGTTTGTATGACTCTGCATGTACTTTAATGAATTTATTAATAAAAGTAAAGATCTATATACAAGCATTTACAAGATGAATGCTGAGAAAAATTGTTAGAATTTAAAAAATCAATTATRAACATACAACAAATCAGATTTTGGAAGGTCATTGTTTTTTGGTTTGTGTACTGCTTATGTAGTTCATGCATTGAAATCTGTGGTTGTGGGTTATTTCTTTTTCAAGATGCTCTCCTTCCCATCCCTAATGATTTTTTTTTTTTACTTCCTTTATTATCTTGACATTTGTGGGTTCTTCTTTTAATAACTTCAGGGTATTGTTGGAGTCTCGACGTAAATCAAAGAAAATTACAGCAAGAGGAATCTTTGCAGGTGCCAGGGTGGTGCGAGGAGTTGACTGGCAATGGGAAGATCAAGATGGTGGCAATGGGCGTAGAGGAAAGGTAAAAATAAAACTGGTTTAAATAAGAAGATGCACCTTTTGGTGCTCATGTAATGTTTCAGTGGCCTTTTTAATTGTCGAGTAAAAATATAATCATAAAATGTACTGTTTTAATTGGCTAGACATTTTTTAATCTTATCCTGTAATACTTAAAAATTTAGAAAGAGGRGGGTGTGTATACCATAGCCCATTCTTTTACATTTTAATATGTGTTTTTTACAAMATCAGCACAGAATGTATTTAATTATTAAACTTTTGTCAGGGTTGTCTGTTTAAGACATTATGATCTTGAGCATATTTCAGTATTACTAGGGAGCTGATATAAAAAYGTAGCTATCAAAAATAACCATTTCTGGTCCTCACTGCATTCTGTAGTCCTGTTGTTTGTGGGCCAGCACATTTGTGTATATAGACAGATTTGTATATCTCTTGTTCTTGGTTTTTAGTGCTGGCACCCTTGGGTTTTATGTTTCACCTAATGATTTTAGGGACTTTYCCAGTTTAAAATTGAAAGCTTTGCAAGTTTCAGATGTGTAGATTACATTACTGGCTTAGGACAATATGTGAGTGCTTTATATATAGTTCTATAGTAAAAATATTTGGATTTATTGAAAATTTTAAGGAATCATATGGAAGGATGGATTTCATGGAATGATACAGAAAATTTTATGAAATGATAAGTTACTAATCATAAGACTTCCTTTTAGAACTTCCATTTACCTTGAGAAGTAATGGAGGTTTGTTACGAGCATACAACAGGCAGTGTTAAATATACTGTGATTTTTATCACCAAATTTGAGAATTGGATGCCCTTATATCTTGGTGAACTGGTGTTTTTTGTTGAATTTGTTTTTAGTATACTTAAATAGCATTTTAAAAAGAGTGAAAAATTATGATATTTAGCCTATTTTATATTCTTGTTCAGCATATTTTATATCCTAGACATTCATGGAAACCTTAGGACTTTCCAGGATTTAATTTTGAATTTTACTGAAAGGAAATAGTAAGTTTAAATCTCTTAAAGCAAGGGATATTAAAATGRTGCTTTTTTCATCTCAATTATTTACCCCTTCCCATGTCCAATTACACTTGAAATCTCTGAAACTTTGCAGAATAAGAGTCTTACCCTGGAAGGTCTGCTTTGTGTACTAAACTTGCATTAGAGGGATTGTTTGCATATACATCTGAAAAAATATATGAATACATATAAATGTTTTTAAACGAGGAAAGGTAGGCAGGCCATAGATAGCAGAAACACTTAATATAAATAAATATAAGTAAGAGTGAAAGCAARTTCAGGAAAGTAATTTTTTCTTTACGTAAGGGAAGTGTTTTCAGAATTTCATGCATGGCCTCCTGATTTCAAAAATGTCAGGGAAAGACTTGCACTCTACTTTTGTACTGTTGGTAAACTTATTGGCTCTGGAAATAAAACTTTGTCACTTAGCAGTGCACAGCCACCAGGCTAATGCAGGTTAGATGAGACATATTGAAGCAATTAGAGTAATTCTCATCCTGTTTTTCTTCGTTAAATGCTGCTTCTCGTATGAACATGTCAAAGCAGTTCACATTTTGTTCTGTGCTTGTGTAGTGAGATAACCTACCAAATATACAAARGAAAAATAGGCCTACAAAACATATATTTAGGCTGCTATCTGGGTACCCAGGGAACACTTGTATCAAGCAGAAAACAGCTTCAGAACAAACGTTACCAGGTTTAGTAAAAGTGTTATATAATTAATTATTTTGAAGAGATAGCACGTTTTTAATTTCAAATTGTGCTTCTGAGTCTTTGCTCTAGAAACAATTTTTTATTTTTACAACTGAATAGGTAACTGAAATCCAAGATTGGAGCGCGTCGAGTCCACATAGCGCAGCATATGTTCTTTGGGACAATGGTGCTAAAAACCTTTACAGAGTTGGCTTTGAGGGCATGGTAAGTATAACAGAATACAAAGGGTAAAATGCGTGATGGGGGAAGAGCAGTAAGAATAACTTGTGCTTTATGGTYCTGCTTTTGTAATATGCATTGTCAGTTTGCCTGCTGGTAGTCAGGTCATTGTGTGTCCAGCTGTAAGGGTCATGCATATGTATTAGTAAGAAAGTCTGATCTGGGAATTTATTAAATGTGAATAACTACAAGTTAAGAGCTGCTTTCTGCCATAGTAAATATTTGCATCACACACATTTGTCTTTCTGTGCTCCTGTTATGTTTAAATTAAAATTTGGAAAAAAAGGGTAAGTGTAGTTACAAATTTTTTAAAAAAAACCCTGTTCTTCAGCTCCTGTACTCTTTAGTTGACTTCAAATTTTGGTGTGATTACTGCAAGATTTGCAGTTTTTAAATTACTGTCAACACCCGGAATCCTATTGAGAGCAATTTKCTTTTTGCAAATGGAAAGGTGTTGAATTAAATTATGACCTTAATTTGCTTTTAGTRCTAAATTTTTCTGTTTCCTTTTGAAGCTTCTCCAGTAAATTCTCTGGCTTTAGAGAGAAAATGGGTCAGACTCTAGCCTAAGTGCCTTCTGTTGCTGGGTTTTCTTATCCTAATGTGGGTCAAGGAAAGGTTACTTTGATTATCAGCTGCTTAAAACATCTTAATTAGCATTTTCCCTGCATGATTTTTGCTTGACTATGCATAGGAAAACCATGTTAATTTAACATTGAAGTGTCATCTTGTCAGATGTGTAACAGTAATAAAATGTTAAGGAATGACTAGTTACTTTTTTGAATGTAAACTATTTGGCCTTACAGCCTCACTTAAAATTTGTTTTTATACTTAAAATGAAAATAAGTACTACTCTTGTGGTAAATACATATTTTAGTGTTACATTTAAAAAGAGTAAACGTATTTAGTGCAGGTCAGCTTTTCTGATGCATGAAGATGATAGGCGTAAAATATGAATCAGGATTAAATTATGTGTTTCATGGTGTCCCTCGGTTTTAAAGAAATGAATCTGTGTTGTATTTTGTAGTGTAAAATTAAATCAGTGTTTGGTATCTTTCCTCTTGTGATACATGGGAAACTAACACAGTTACAAAATCTAGATAGAATTAGATACAGATCAACTGATTTTTTGTTGTGGTGGCTGTTATGACTTCAGTTGCTATGTTAGAATTTTTKGACTACATAGTAAAAGTGCTGTTGGAATCATTGAGGATTCCTTCTGGCCTCAGGAAGAAATATATTTGAGGTAAGTTATATTCTGTTTTGAAATAATTAATTTTAAAAAAATACTATTTTTACATCAACTATATTCTGTTTCCAAACTTTTGCCACCACTGGAAGTGTTAAATATTTCTAGAAAACTCCATTAAGTACTGCAGCTATAAATTTGAGGGGGTGAGGGTGACCCTTCCTACAAGTTTTGTAGAAATAGAAATATTTGATCAATCAATTAAAAAAAAAAGGCCTGTTAAACTGTCTGTGAGACTACATATATAGATGTTGTATTTAGGAAAATAGAGAAAAGAATATGTACATGTGGACGTACAGAAAGGATAATTTATAATTTGAGGCTGTGTAAGTAGTGCTTACCRGATTGTAATCCATTCCTACACTAATTTTATCTTTGATGTTTTCATCAAATGCAGTTTTCACTTGAAACAGAATGGATTCTTGGATGTCTATGACAGTMATTTGAATGTAATGGTTAATTTTATAACTGATTAATGACTTGCTAAGTGTACAATTCAGTATTATTATTTMCTGCTACTTATGTGCTGTTATGTAAAGCTGAGACTGTTAGAAAGTTCACATAAAGTTGGGGCAAACTTGTTTTGGTACTTGAAAATTCGTTTGAAAGGTCCAGAGAATGCGGAATCAACAATACTCAAAAGTGTGTGCCCATGTAAATACAGCTGGGAAGAGACCCTGACTTGCAAATGGATAACACTTGACTCATGCTAATGGAGCTGATTAAAGAAACACAGCTCATTATTGTAAGTTAGGGTTCTTGTTTGATAGCTGATAGGCTGCATCTGGTCCTCAATAYTATTCTATCTGGCCTGCCAGCTTTGGGAGAGATGAGGATTGGCTGGTGGGGGAGCAGGTGCTGGCTGAAAACTTGCATTTATTTCTGATCAGATGCTTGGAGGTTTTATTTGTGTTTTCAGTTTGCTCTGTTTACATGTGAAATGGTTGAGAGGTGTCTCTTTTTTTTTGTTGGTTTTTTTTCCTTGTGAAATCTGAGTTTAGATTGGGAGATTCTGCTGCCACAGGCCACAAATTCCCTAATTGAAATCTGTGTTTCTGATGCTGTTAAGTCAAGTAATGTGTTTGCTACATCCATAGTAAGAATAAACTACTTTTACCTAATATGGTTGGTGACACTACTCACATTTCTTACATATGTGTATTTGGAGTCCAGAACCAAACGGAGCTGTTGAACACACAACCTGCTTTAGAAATGTGTGAATGTATCCCATCCAATAAAGAGATGTCATAGGGAATCAGAGTTAATGGGAAGATTGTGATTTTGCTTGTGTCTAGACTTTATTTCTTAGTAGCACATGAGCTGAGGAAGTAAAGCTGGTAACTTCCATTGATTTTCAGTGGAAAATAATAGTTCCATCTGCAGGAGTGTCCTGAATCAATTTCATTATTTAGGAATCAGTTTCTTTCAGAATTTCTTTGCTCTGTATCACTTGCCTTTTTTTTTTTTTCTGTGATTAACCTCTGCTTGTTTTTCATTATGGAGGATTGTGCTTTCATCTGCATAGCCTCTGAAAGAAGTATCTGTAGTTACCATCCATCCTTGTCACAGTAATCTGTAAGCCATCTGTGTTGGTGTACTTTTTTCCGCAAATTCCAAATAGTGAGTGCATAAGAGTAGTTGAGGTTGCCTGTCCCTGGGTGATTGATGACTAATGTCTGTTCATCAACTTTTATTTGGATTACTTATGAAGTTATTCTTCAAAATTACTCTGGAGGATTTTAAGAGTTCCTTGTTACAGCRTTCTTTTTTAAAGAAAAAGAAGGTAAATGTCTTGGTATACTAGGCAATGTAGGTGAGCATTATGAAATATACAGAAATATGCTTTCCACTGCAGTTAAAACTGTCAGATAGGTAATGTTAGTCAAATCTTCAGTTCTCTGGTCATTTATCTTGTCATCACAACAGTGAAAATAAGGTATTTAGGAAGAAACAACAAGTATTTTCATTATTTTGTTAGTTTAGTGTCCTTCTGTTGTTTCTAGGTTTTGACCATAATTGTTTTAAAAAACAAAATAATGATTTTTTGGCCATGTTTATGCAAGCAGCAGGTGTTTTTTAATATGTTACCTGTGGTATAAGTTAGATATCGGTAAGAAAATTAGATAGTCAGTTGTTTTGGAATCCAGAGAGGAAAGAGATATTTGTGTTTACCTTGTACATTTATTTGCATTTGTCAGCAGACTTGGTTTTGCTTCTTTCTGATATAATCATATTTCTCTTATAGTCTTAATCAAGTCAAGTTTTTCATATATCTGGTTTGCAAAGAAAACCATTTCTGTTACTGATGGTTTTCCAATTTTATTTATAGTATTTACTGACAAGGAAGACTGTATCTTTCTTTTAAAAAAAAAGTTACACATACAAAGCTTTTATAAGTGCCTATAATAAACAGACAATAACRTTATAAAACATTCTCTCAGGATTTGCCTGAAGTCTGGTTTCCGCTGTAAGAAACTTGTTAGTGTTTGTGTACCTCACACCTCTTTGTCATTTCAGTCACTTTCTCTACCATCTTCTACTTTCTCCTTTTATTGCTTTACTTTTCCCAGCTTCTTGAAACTGAGAATGATCTGATTTCCTGAAACTTGAAATATAGCATTATAAACCTTTTGCTAAAACGTATGCAATTATCCAGTCCCTTGATGCATTAGTCTGATGTCAAAGCAGCATGCACTGGACTTCCTCCATTTGCCTCCTGAGGGCTGATTTCCTTGTAAAAAGCTGTTGTGAGTTTAAAATCCTAAAGTGACCTTTGCTGTCTTGAGCAACTGCAGCTGTGGCACCACTCCTGCTGGTTTATATCTAAGATTGGTATTAATTTGTGCCCTGATGTTTGCTGTTGGTGTTAGATGCTGTATCAGTGCATCTGTATCAGACATTCCTCTTTTTCTTAGCAGCACACCTAGTTTTCTTATCAAGTCTGTAGACACCCCTCTCCCCGGTTTGGATGGATGGCATTCCATATTGATTGGAATAAYTTAAAAGATATTCCTGTAGTCAGCTGCTCCTTCAGCTTTTTTTCCCTCTTCAAGGTCAGGGATAATGATCCTTTTACACCATCTGCCAGCATTGCTGATCTTGCTCTAAATTTTTCCGTTCTCTGAGGTTGTATGAAGATGAAATTACTACTGTTTATTTTTATTGKTATAATTGGATGGCATGTCAAAATGATTTACATTTACTGTATTTCCCATTTGACTGAGCAAGTCATAATCTCTGTGTAATAGTCACATATTGGAATGCAGATTTTTAGAACAAAGTGTGGGTGCTAGAAGACCCAGGTTCACCACTGTAGGCAAAACCCGTTACTACCTATTGCTCATGTGCATCAGCTGTTGCTGCTGACCTGCAAGTTGTGCTGTGCAATGTATGGTTCCCATGCTGTTCCTTGAGTTTTCATTGATTGTCTGCTTAACTGGGGTTTCCATTTTTCACTGAACACAAATTGTACAATATCTATAGCTTATTCTTCTGCTTCCTGAAAGAATACTACTTGATGGAGAAATCCTTTGATAAATCTCAAGTAATTTAGAAAAGCTGATTGTTCATCTCCACCATGTATTACACCCAGCCTCACTGTTGTTACTCGTTTTTTGGTAGTGTCACTGTGAGTTTGAAACTTGTAATTTAACATCCCTTGTTTTGGTACTTCCCCTTTTGCTCTTGCATGTCTCATTTCCARACAATCTGCTATTTTGATTCATTTAGAAGTCTCAGGGTCTCTCATATAACTTGTAGAAATCCCAGTGGGCATCTCTGAAATGCAAAGCCTGATGCGTCCAGGCTCCAAATGTGTTTTTTGTCCATGTGCACTAGAGGGGCCTCTTGCCATGCTGTCCTCAGAGCAGGGTGACCAGGMGCTTACGAACATCCCTGATTTTTTGCTTAAACTGCTTGAGCAGGAGAAAGCTTATTTTTCTTTTCTGATAAGTATAACAGCTGAATGCTAGAAGGAAAATTGTAGTTGTTTACCCAGCCTTTGTGGCACTGAAATGCAACTAAGTAAAGTTTTGTGTCTTAAAACTCCAGAATCCTGTTTGGTTCTATTTCAAGGCATTTGCAGCCCTTTATCATGTTGATAGTACTTTTCTTAATAGTACTGTTGGCCAAGTTGCCAAAGGAACTCTGCYTATATATAAGTTTGTTTTGTATTGCCTTAATATCTGTCAGTGTCCGTCCTTCCTGTGTTTTTTGGGCCCTCCATTTTTTTTGTTGAAGSCTTCTGGGAAAAAAGAAATAAAAAGACATGTACCCTTGCTTTTGTGCAACACTTAGATCAGACTCTTGTTTTATTCTTTAGCAATGTAACATTGACTACATCATGTAAGTGAAAGGAAGACAAATGTGAAGTTGAGGCTGGACACCAAGCTACCATTTAGTTTTTCAACCAAGCATRTCATTATACTCCAGAAATAAACTGTGTGCGGGGCACAGTACAGGCAGGATAAAATACAAGTGCAGGTTTCTGGGTTTGTTTTTTTTTTTCTGTAAAATTGAAGATACTGTAATGGGCTTCCTAGTAAGGTCAGCTGCAAAATAGTAATTAACCTTTAATGAACATTTTGTTTCTTCTGCTAGGTTTTAGCCATCAGTCTGCTCAGTGCATTGGCACTTACTATTAACACAAGCAATCTTTCACCCTGGTTTTGTCTGGCAAGGAGGAGAACTTTTTGGACCCTCCTGCACTCTATTCTTAGTGTTCTGAAGAGTGTGACAGCAGCTCTTGGGTGTGCACCCCTCCTTGTCTCCTGCACAGACAGCTGGTTGTTGCCTGACAGGGAGGGCTTGTATTCAGTTGATGAGACYCAGTGCTCCCGGGCACATTCAGTCTCAGTCGTTCCCGGGAATGAATGAATTTGCCATCTGGGATGGTCGGTGCAGTCCCTTTGTCTGCAGCCGGGGCTAAACCCAGCACCTGCCCACCGGGTGGCAGCATCTTGTCACAGGCCTTCTGCTGCTGCACTGAGCRAGCTCTTTCTCTGCTTTCTCAAGGGATTTGAAGAGCGGTTAAATCTCATTATTTTTCTCTGGCTGTCTCCATCATTTTTCCGAAGTGGCAGTGCATTCTGYGTGRACCAGGACATACACTGAATTTTGTRTTGTTTCTGGCTGCTTAGCAGTTGCCAAGGGTGGTATTGTGCTCATCAGAGCCTTGRTGATGTAGAAGACTTCAGAGTTTTCATTTTAATCCTTTTGAAGGAGGACAGTCTGTCAATAAATCTTGGGCATGGGTAAAAGAACTGTTCAAGTGTTTGTTTAGTTGTGTTTAATGATATCATTACCACCACCTGTCCCCTRCTTCCTCCCCCATGCCACAGAATATTCTGACACATTTTGCATACAGTTTCYGATCTCCTTCCCAGCTTACCATGCATGCAAAAATGCCGTTTGTTTAGTGAGAACTGTCTGAAAAGGAACAATSGCAGATGATAGCCGTTTGGATTTAGCATTGCACTGGGAAAAAACCTAAAGGAAAGGAGAATTATAAAAACTCCTCTGCTGGCTTTGTGAATAGGAGTTGGTCACCACACTTGAAATTTCCCTTCCTYATAATATGAAACAGTTTCATGGGGGATGAACTTTAGAACTTCTTTCTTTARAAAGAGCATGTTTAGCTCAGCTTAGTGGTGTTTTGTTGGTGTTTTTAAAGTAATAGCCTTCTGCATATTCCTAWTTGAAAAGTTTTTGTTTAGTGGAATTTGAGTGACAAGTTTTCAAGTTAAACATGRATCTGCCAAAAAGTGTTGGGAAGAGTGGGCAACACTGGCAGGCATTAAATGTTTCCTTGCTTATGTTCACAGAATKCCTTGGAAAAATAACTTAATAGAACAATGTAAAGGTGCTTTGTGTTTAGTTTAATTCCTGTCTTTGAACTTAGAATATCTCATCCTTTATAGTCTCTTATATTTGTAAACGTTATTAAAATCTTGAGACTGTCAAGGATGATAGATTGGAAAGTATTTGAGATTGTGTGCATCATGGGACATGTTTTTTGTACACATAATTTTCAGCCTTTCTTAATTAAATATTTCAATACTRGTTTCACTGACCTGGAGACTTGGTCATGGAGGACTAAAGTTGTCTCAATCTCTCTCCGTAGTCTGACCTGAAATGCGTTCAAGATGCAAAAGGGGGCTCTTTCTACAGAGACCATTGTCCTGTGTTAGGTAAGTTGAAGGTGAAGTAAATTCATGTTGATTTRTATTAATTATACTCACTCTGGATTTTTTTGCTTTTTAAATGTCATATAAAAGGACTGTCCTTACTAGTGAAACGTTAATAGTAACATTTCTATTCATGATAAATTGTCATGCTTTTCTAAATTGTCTTTGGTATCAGTGAGCCAAGGTGATGGCAAGGGAGCTTTTAAGCGTACATTAAATTATGAATTGTGTGTCCTGTGGACTGTATTTCTAAAAAACGAAACATAGCTGTGCATTCTTATAAAACTGGCTTAAATATTCAGAGACGTTCAATGAATCAGCATGTGTGTGGCCATAAACAAGAGTCACTTGAACATGTACTGTAACCTGTAACCTTTGTAGTAATGCTGGTGTATATTGTGACATCCTGGTTCAGATTTTCTGCATCAGCTGTTGCAGTGACTCATTCCTCTTAGTGTCTTAGTTGTGCTGTAGACTACTACAGAGTATAAAAAATGATTGCCAGGTGTTTTGCTTTTTTGAAATATGGGCAAGTTGGGATAAAGGTTGTAGATCATTAGGCACAAATGTACTAATTATTAATTTCCTTAGCAAAGCACTTGGCTGTGAAACTGTATACTACAGTAAATTTTGCCTTTCTTCTGGAGTTTCTTACTATACTTAAATGCTTAAAAAACCTTAGCTGATAATACTGATTWTTCTRAAGTGAKTATTTTTTGTTAACAAGTCTTAATYTTATTCCTTGCCCAAATGCTTGAAGTATGACCAGTAAGCACTTTGGTTGTATTGACATCAGAGCTTTTATGTATCCAGATGTCCAACATCATATGATACCTTTTAAGACTCCAGTTAAAGCTGATAGTGGAGTTTGTCACAAGTATTTAGCATTTGCCAAATATTRTTGTTGCTATTTGCCCTGAAGACTCAACAAGAAACACACAATTCCATTGCCAGAGATTCAGAAGCTATTTTACCTGTTGGCCACTACAGTTGCAGACATTGTTGTGGAGTCASCATCCCTGGAAGTTCAAAAAATATRTGGATACAGCGTACTTGGAACCTATATGGTTCGAGTTCATGGCGAATGTGGTGATGGTGCTAGGTTGGTGGTTGTACTTGAAAATCTCAAAGGTCTTTTCCAACCTTAATGTTTCTGTGAGTCTTGGAAATTACCTTCTGTGCTTTAAATTGCCTGGAWGGTTAGTATGGTAATGTAAACTTCCTTTTTTCTTACTCTCTTTCAGGTGAGCAAAATGGTAACAGAAACCCTGGTGGACTGCAAATAGGTGACCTTGTAAACATTGACCTCGACTTGGAAATTGTGCAGTCTTTGCAGCATGGTCATGGAGGATGGACYGATGGCATGTTTGAAACTTTAACAACAACCGGAACGGTTTGTGGCATCGATGAGGACCACGACATTGTAGTACAATATCCAAGTGGCAACAGGTTTGTTATATAACCTTCCTTGTTGGTTCTCACAAACTTCCTTTGCCTTCAGTTCTTGTGATTACTTGGTGCCAGAAGCTTTCTCTTCTCTTTTTGTGTCTGTTAAGATTTCCATCRCTATTTGTAATGAAGAATTTGAAGATGTTTTAGTGGGAAGAGGAWGATTGCTTCTTCTCTCACTTGGTGGAAGTTTGAGACAAAATAAGAAACTATGTTCTGGACTATCTTATTTGCAAAATGTAGTGTTTTAAGCAGTAACTTGTTTTTTTTAATTGCAAATTTTCTATCCCATGGTTTCAAGGGGAAAGATAATAGCAATTAATTGTGGGGTTTCAGGAAAATAGGTTAAGAGGACAGGTGACAAACTTCTGAGGGATCTTGTCTAAACTAAGGTCACCTTGCCATGATCCATATCTGGCCTTTTATTGTTCAAAGGAATGTTAGTTTATGTAAATACAGACCAAGAGTGGAAGGTATTGGGGAAGCCGGAATCACTCCCTGCAAGCAATTTAGGTGTGAGTTTTCCTTGGCTGCATCCTCACTAACAAGATTCAAACTCAGCTGTACAGTTGGRTTTGAATCTGAAATGCCCATGTGATTTTTGTTCTGTTGAACTCAAGTATTTGGCTTATTTTTAAAAAGCAGCTGGTGAATGGTATATAATTTCAGTGTATGGAGATTTACCTGATCAGTTTGTCCAGAAAGAATTATCAGTACATTGTTCATTCAGGATTTCCCTCAAGGTACTCTTTTTTAGTATTGCAAAATAATGCAGAACAAAGCTGTTTTCTTCTGGCAGTCATATCAGCATAGTCAATGACAGGTGCTGCTCTGTCTAGTGGTCTGGTCCCTGACTAAACAGCTAAATGCTTCTAAATCAGTAAAATTTATAGTACCAATAGGATCATTTGGTTGAAAATTGAGATTTATCTAGGCATCTTTTGGGCTGTGGGGAGGGCCCAAAATTCTGTGTTCTTCCCATGTTATTTCCTGATAGTTCAGTCCTTTGTGAGTCAGACTGGATCTGCCGTTTTTCAAMGAGTTATTTCCCATCCCTGGAAAGACAAATCAACTGTATAGCTACTTTCAGGCCTTTTACATTGCTGCCAGCTTGCTTCCCCTTAGGCAGGATATTTCTTAATTGTCTTTACAAATCTATGTCTCTGAAGATTATCCTTGATATTAATTAATGAGCCATAGGCGAGTTTATGGACAAAAAATGGATAACAACAAATAGAGTATCCACAGTATCCAATCACCAGAAGTTTGTAGCCATAAAAACAGAAACTTACCCAGCAGATATTTTTAAACATGTATTTCACTTTGTGTTTTTAAAATCTACTTTAAATGATTCATTGTTTAGGTGGACATTTAATCCAGCTGTTCTCACCAAGGCCAACGTTGTCCGAAGTGGAGATGCTGCTCAAGGTGCAGAAGGAGGTACCTCTCAGTTCCAAGTGGGTGACCTTGTTCAAGTATGTTAYGACCTGGAGCGTATCAAGCTTCTCCAGAGAGGTCACGGAGAGTGGGCCGAGGCAATGCTTCCGGTGAGTAGCTGTGTTTACATTCATAGGATGGTAAAGCTTGTACAGTATTTCTAGTTATGATTGKTAATATATCTGGAGGTTGTGGGAGTCTAAAAGGGTTTTTCTTCTAAGTTAAAGGTTGTATTTCATCACAGTGTRATTCTTGTTCAGGTGTAGCAATCTGCTTGGCCTAATGAAATCTATCTGAAGGTAGTAGTGACTATACTGCTAAACAGTGGACTGAATATAATTTGTATGAAACATTCAATTTTCTGAATATTTCTTTTTAGTATTATTTGCATCTCATGTTTTCTTTAATTCAGACTTTAGGTAAAGTTGGCCGGGTTCAGCAGATCTATTCAGACAGTGACTTAAAGGTAGAGGTTTGTGGGACATCTTGGACCTATAATCCAGCAGCTGTCTCGAAGGTGGCATCAGCAGGATCTGCTATAAGTAATGCATCTGGTGGTAAGTTTGAAGAATAACCAGTAATATATGCATGATAAGTAATAGTGTTAATTAAAAAAAGTATTATTAGGTACTAATATGTTGTTTGTATGCAAGGTTAACAATAGACTTGGTGCTTATGTAATTGAAGTTGCACTTGAGAAAGATATATAGAGAAAAAGCCTTACAGTCAATATGCAGATGATGTTGTATTGATCAGGTGCTTCTGTTTGGTCACAGTGCAGGTGTGTCTTTGGAGGTCCACTCTAAGGACTTCAAAATGTTTGGAAGGGACATTAGATTGAAGTAGGGACTGAGGCCTGAAAAGCATGTCACTGGCAGTAACAAGCAGACTCCCTGTTTAATAGGTGGTTTAAGAYAGCAAGCATAGGTGAGGGATCTGTTGCACGTGGTTACTCAGAATGCTTATTTCTTTAAAATTTCTGCCTTAAAATTTAGTCAGACATCTTCTGACTAATTACAGTGGGATTTTTTGGTGTGTCTATGTAATCACACTTCTGTTTTGTTGAACTTGCTGTCATTCATATAATAACAAGGCAGAAAGGCTGTCCAGTGTGTTTTATGTTTTGTTGGCAGTTCCACAGATCAATTGAAACTAGAAGTTTTCCTTTTTTTAGTCACAGCTAGTTGTTTTTTCCTCTTCACATATTTGCTTTAATGCCAAGAAACCTTTCCACATAGTTTTCTAGATTTTTTCCTAAGGAGGCATAGATGTAGTGAGTTTTCTCAATAAAGAATCAAGTCACAGTGGCCATAAAACTGTCTAGAAGAGTAATACAACCTAGCATTTCAAATCACAGAGGACAGGCTGTACCTAATGTTAGATAGTCTGTTATAATAATACATAAATTCATGTTTTACCTTGTCCCCACCCTTTTGTATTTTGTGTGAGAAGAGACACTTGTGGTTCAGTCATTTTTGTTCTGAAGTGTCTGATGTGGCAGTCTCCCCTGTCTAAAGGGTACTGGGGTGCAGCTCTTAYTTCTAACTCAGTAATATTTTACAGTTGCCATTTCATGGTGGTTTGTGTATTACTGTGTACATGGCCTATGTACATTTGCCTTAGACAAATGTAACTGAGTTTTTTTCTGTTCTTGCATAAGTAGAATTGTAATCTTAGTTGTCCTTTGTTTAACAATTATAGAGAGACTGTCACAGCTATTGAAAAAATTGTTTGAAACCCAAGAATCYGGAGATCTCAATGAAGAATTGGTTAAAGCTGCTGCCAATGGAGACGTTGCTAAAGTGGAAGACTTGCTCAAGAGGCCAGACGTAGATGTGAGTGTTCTGTTTTGAAGTACCTCTTTTGGGGACCTGTAGCACTAAAGGAAGTGCAGCTGTCCTGAATACTCCTTGCTATAGTGTACCTTCCTAGAAGTAGTACAGCTAGTTCCAGTGTCTCTTCTCCCATTTGTTGTCCTATGAAATGTGTGTGGGCTGTGTGAACATAGAGCTGTGCATACTTCCTTCCTGGGCAGATTTTGTGTTCTTTTGTCTGCCATGAATTGAAATACTTTTCAACCTTTGTCTGCCAGAGTTGATGCAAAGAACCARATGTTCACAATTACTGAAGGGTCTTCAAATTCTTCTGTTTCAAGGGGATAGAAAGAAGGAGGGTAGATATTTCAGGATGTTTTTGTTGTTGACAGTTTTTGTTTTGTTTTATTAACTCTTGAGGTAGATTATCTAGTCTCAGTCAGATTCCTTTTACCAACATGTATAATTACCTAATACTGAAAAGTTTAAAAGAAAATGCTTAATAATCATAGGACTTCATTTAGGGAACATAGTTTAATTTAAGTCACCAGCTTTCTCACTACAGCAGTAGTAATGCTTGCAGCTAAAAGTCTGAACTTTTTTACTTCKGAGCACTGATTTGTAGCTTCAGACYTTATAAAACATAAGATTTTGTTCCAACTCTTTCCTCTTGCAGTAAATTATGCAAGGAAGTTACATGTAYCATAGAGAAGACAGGTATAAATCTGAGACTTGGTCTCAAAAATCTTGCTATTACAGGAGTCGCCCAAAAAGGACTTTTTAGTCCAAGTGTCATTAATGTCTAATGYTTGTTATAAATCCACTTCTTTCATTTCCTCTTTCCTTCAATCTAGCTATTACWATAGAAATCAAATAGAGAAGGTCCAGAACATCTCTATGTGCTAGAAAGGCATCTGGGAATTGTTCATTTGATGCTATGATATGTGTACTGTTGCTTTAAGTTTTCTACCGCTAAACAGCCTCACAGAAATGTSTGTGTGTCTTGCAACTCACCAACAAGTGTTGGCATTCCAGGTGAATGGGCAATGTGCTGGGCACACAGCTATGCAAGCTGCAAGCCAGAATGGCCATGTCGACATTTTGAAGTTGCTTCTGAAACAGAACGTGGATGTAGAAGCAGAGGTAACCTAAAAATTTCAAAATACACTTCATGTGTCCTTTTTGTTACATGTATGATAATTGTACTCAACTTGCCTTCTTTTTAAAGGTCAGAGAGAGTGAAAAAACTGTTTTTATTATTGTGTGCCCAAATTAGACTCCTCCTAACATTATTATAAAGGGTCAAGATCTAATTCTTTAACGCGTCTTATTAAATGAAATGTAATACTAACTACTAACATAATAGAGCTATGTAAGCTGGTATGTGATGAAGTCCTTTCTTTCCTTTGTTTCATTTCAACAATGCAATGGGAACTCTGCCTGTGGCATTGAGGGAAAAAGATGTTGTCAGATGCTGCATCACCAACTGCAAATGCTTCCCCTACTTCTTACACAGAGTTCAGTTAGGAGAAATCTTTCAGTTCTTAACTAAAGCAAGTTTAAGCTGAAAGTAATAGCAGTATCTTTGGGTAGAAAATGCCAGGTCTGCTTCTAGTTTTTCTATGCCCTTTTTTTTAACTTCACTGAAAATGGAAGGGATTCTCTTGTTTAGGTTTTTTAGAMTAATTGTTTGTGAGAATTATTTGTCAGCATACTGTGATATTTGCATTTTGAATTGATTTTTACTCAGTTATTTACACAGAATGCACTGCTATTGCAACCATTTCTCATTTTGTGAGGCACAAGAATGATCTGTCAAATTTGATTYAATAAGAATAAAAATTGAATTCTTGCAGAATGCTGAGAAAATAATTATGCACCCAGTTGTAGTTTGCATAACAGAAAAATAGCTTCACATGCGTGGGCATCTACAATTGTATTTGGTATACAGAAGTTATAGAATGTTAAAACATTAATGAAGCAATGTAGTTCTTCATTAACTAAAATTATTTTTGTATTTTTAGATACACAGTTAATTTTTAAATATTTCCTGCTAAATTCTTCAGATGGCTTAGATTGATGCAGTACATACTTGCTGTGGTGTGATTTCAGTGAAGTAACTTCMTTTTAGAAATAGCGCTTTCACTGCAGTACAAAGCATATGCTGTTAAAATTAGGCTAAACTGCTTTTCATCTGCTATGTTAATAAGGTGGTGGACTGAAGGAAGGGTTAGAAGCATTAAAGAGGTAGATAGAAGCACTACTTAAACAGTTTCAAGGCAATGCACCTGGGAAGCTGCTAGCACTAGAATTGTGAAGTGTCATGTTTACCCAGACTTCAGAAGCACCATCACACCAGCAGGCATATAATTGTCAGGGATTTTATTTGACTTTTACAGYCTTTTTCACATGACTGTGTTGCTTAAGTGAAGATGTTATTCCCACTTAATTAYATAATTGCCTTGATTATTAGAATAGATATCATTTTCTTACTATTATTAGATTAATAGTTGTATTTTTCAGGCTTTAAAAAATATAAGCTATTTATAAATATACAAAAATAAATTATATATATATAATKGTKTATAAAATGCAAAGATCCAGCAGAGCCATCCCATTAAGCAGAGAGCAAAAATTTAGTCTGTTTACTTCACTGTTGTGGTCTGTGGCATGGAAGCAATGGATAAAAATCCTTACTTTCCTTGTTTTATAGCAAAGTTGGATATTTTTACACTTACAATCATTACTGCAGAGTAWATACAATCATGATGACATTTTCTGGGGATACCCTCGTTGTCTCCTGTGTTTTTCTCTGATGTCTTTATGTAGAGTAYRAATGCCCTCTRTYTAGTCTGAAAACAGTTTGCTACTGACATAGCTCAAAAAGCCTAATGTAGATATTGCATRGTTAAAATATGCAGCCTTCTAGGCTGCAGAAWTTAATGGTCATCAATTATTATATTAACAGCACTGACAAGATTATACTGTTGTCATGTATAGAAATGTAGTGCTTTTAATATTTAGATTTATATCTAAACATAAGTCTTAGGACAGATGATTTACTAGTTGCTAGCTTTTTCTAGATGAATTAGTACTATTGGGTAGGATTCAGCTCCTGAGATTATTTGTTTTGATGCTGAGCTAAAAATGAGCCTGCATGATCTTGGACCTCTGCTAATTAAAATAGGAACTTCATGCATTAAGACTTAATAAAATCAGGGAATTGTGTCTCAAAATTGAAATACGTGAAAACTAAAACATTCAGTAATTATGTGGATTTTCATCCATAAATATCTTGGTGTACTTTACAGACTGCAGATACAGAAAGACAAATGACCATGCATCTGTGAAACCRAGTACTCTGTAAATACAAGTCTAGTAGCAGTTTAGGACTACTCTTGATAAGGTTTCCTCCTAATGATCCTTATRACCAGATGAAAAATACAGAGAAGTCCACCTTTCTGGTCCTTTCCCCTTCCAAAAGGGCTTTGGCTTCTTTTGACTGTTCATGTTAGATAAGCCTGAGAAGGAATCCTGTGATCTGAAAAGGCARCTTGGTAGCATGAGTTGATTTGGAAGGAATAAAAGTGTCTTTTCAAAAGCTGTTGAAACCACTGTTTAGTGCCCTTACCATCTTGAAAACCATATCCATATTTTCAAAAGGATACATTTGTTAATTAGAGGATAAGTCTTCTTCCTCCATTTTAAATGCTGTAACTAGTCTCATTGTTTTATGAGCAAATAGTTTATGCTAAGAGTTATTAATTTTTGCATTGATATAAAATACTTGTGTTCTTTATAATAAAATACTTTTGCAAGGTGTTGCCGAAGAAGCAGATTGGTAAGAAATTAAGCTTACTCAGGAAAGCCAGTGAGCCCTTGACCAGTCATGATTTTTTTCTTAAAATTGTCAGTGTTTCTGTTTTCAAAATTGAAACCTGCAAATGCATTGTCATATTAAACTATGCAGAAATACTCAGTTAGAAACTAGCTTATGGAAGTTATTTCATCGTCTTCATTTTTGTCTTGTATACTGTCATTAATGCTGATATCACTTGATTGATATTTTAAAATGTTTCATCGACTTTTATGAATGTAAAAATAGCCCAAGCTGACAAATTTGACTTTCGTACTTTAATTCTCAGTTTGGGTGAAACTGAAACAAACTGAATCAGCGTTCTAATGCTCTGAATCATCATCACAGAATCAGAATTTCTAGTTAATGTCAGCATCAATCACAAATTTCCTTTGGAAAAGGTTTATTAAATGAATACCATGACATATAATAAACCCTAACAAATATTAACCTAATTGTATGAAAAAGGCAATACTTATGTCTTGCAAAATGATTTGGAATCTGTAACACTTCCCAGGTTGCGGGAAGAATTACACTGGGATATTAAGTGTAATACTGTTTGGGCATTGGATTTAGTTTGTGGGTTTTCTGGTTGTTTTGTTTGGCTTTTTTTCTCGACAGTGGCTGTTTTGTAGTAGAAGCCCAAATCCATTTGAGTTTGATGAACATGTCACACAAAGATTCAGGGCAATAATTGTATATSCTGTAGAATATCATATGTTGAAGAATATGTGTGTTTGTATATGAACTTAATCTTCATCCTCTGTTGCTGCAGTTTGAGCAATTATTTARTTAAGTATTTTAATGATATCATGGTTGTCTAATTTTTCTTGTTCCATCAAATACGGAYAGTTGTTAGTTTAAATTAATCTTCTTGTTTGAATGCAAAGGATATGTGAAATTTATTGGGTCAAATGAATGTTTCTTTAGGACAAGGATGGGGACMGGGCTGTCCATCATGCAGCCTTCGGTGATGAGGGTGCTGTGATCGAGGTTTTGCACCGAGGCAGCGCAGATTTGAATGCTCGCAACAAGCGTAGGCAGACTCCACTGCACATTGCTGTCAACAAAGGTCATCTGCAAGTTGTCAAGACTTTACTGGACTTTGGCTGCCATCCTAGTCTCCAGGTAAAGTAAATTTTAATGTAGGTTCACTTTTCAGCTACTGAATTGTATGATTTGCTGCGTGTAGGTAGGTGATAGAAAAATTATGGAAAATGGGATTGAAAGGAACAGACACTGAAATTTCTGTCTCAGCTTTTGCCCCAACATGTGATCAGCAGTAGCAGAAATGCTATTAGGTCTGTTTGTTTCCTTGACAGCTAGACTGACACCTGGTTTATTCTAGACACTTGATATTAATTGGTATTTTCACACATTGTAGTTATTTCTAATTGTTAACTTTCCCTCCAGGTTAATTACTCCTATATCGAACCTGCACTTGTTTGCTTCTTCTGCAAGCGGCAGTTTAGCAGGCCGACAATACTGATAGTATGTTTTGTTAAAAGAAACCTTTTATTTTTTCCCAAGATTGACCTGTAATTGATAGAACTATTTAGTCAGATTCACTTTCAAATGTTCAGCTTTTTATCCAGAAAACCCTCATGCACAGGCTCCCAAGTACTATAATTTCACAGGGAATTTAATCTGTAATGATGGTGGTGGAAGCAGTAATGTAAGTGCAACGTCCTGTTTAGAAGGTAGAGTGGAAATATGCTATCAGATTAGGAGGTATCCACACTGCTGAATGCAGCTGTATGCACTGGATTAGTAAAACAAATGAGATTGGGTAAGTTTGAAGAGATGTTCATCAGAAAGAAAAAGCTGTAGTGGCCTGGGCAAATCAAGATATGCAGTAATAACACATTGCCTCCTTGTTTTGCATTGTCAAAAATCAGATTTTTTTGAAGCTGTATGTCCACATAAAAGATGAGCAAAAACTTCATTGAAACTTGTGAGCTTAGTGTTTGTTTATCTCCTTCTGCCTGATTCTTTAGGTCTTGATCTTGCTGAGGTTGAGCTGTTACATCCCTGTTTAGTGTTTGTTGAACAGGAGATCTAATAAGGAATCTGATGTGCTGAGACCAGTGAAGGGTGACTGTAAATCACATAATGACAYAGAGGTAGCCAAAGTATATGTGCCTGAGTTAAAATTACAGAATTCTGTTTCAGTTGAAAAAGTCAGTAGAATGGTGTTGTGACACCCCGTCTTCAAAATATAATTGCTGTTGAAAAGAATGAACTTTCACGTTCAGCATGTGTGCTGAGGRGCTGTGATGTGCTAATGTGAGTAGGTGATTGATTTGGTCAATGAGAGCACCTGGCAGTAAGACTGAGGCATGACTGGAATTGAACTGGCCAGCACTCTACTACTCCAGCCACTTCAATATGTAAACAGAAACATATGTTAGTTTGTAAACAGGAAATTCAGGAAATATGATCAATTAAACCAAATAAAACTACATGATTTAGTTTTGGCATACTGGTTCACATTCGTTCAARTGTTTCCATATTCCAGTACTTTTTCTTTGGGAGGTTTTGATTCTCAGTGTAGAGATCTGTTTTCGTACTAGTGTATTGCTAAAATGTTCAGTTTCTGTGTTAGTCAGTTTGCAGTTGAGTCAGTGTTGGTGGCAAAAGACTTCCTGACTTACATGGTGCAAGAATTTTACTGGAAACATAAATCTAGAGATTTTGCCTATGTAGCTGCAAATCAGCTTAAATGGATGTGTTTTTTTGCTATTAGTCTAGGGCATTCCTCTTCAGCCATTTGAGTCCTTGAATAAGTTATGTACAAAATGCTTCTAGGAATAAAAAGTATTTTTTCCTTATTTGGGATATTTGAAAGTAAAACATCAAGCTAAAAATATAAATTCTTYGCCTGTTCAATTGTGCAGTCCAGTGTTATTGTGTGGCTTGTGTAATATAATCTTGTATTAGCCATAACAAGTTAAATMTAATATCACTTTATGACATTGGCTTTTGCTTCATGGAAAATGATCTGCTTCAGTTAAAACAACAGATATGCCTACGTTTAGTACTTGGACTGCATTTTGTTTTGATTTGCCATTTTTTGTATTTCACACTGTTACTTTGGTATTGTCTTTTACATGGTTAATTGCTGGCTCAAAGTTAGCATCTATTACTCCAAATTCCATGCCTCCTTCTGCTTGACTAGTCTTYTCTCTGTCATGTTAGTTTTTGTTGCTGTCCTGTTACTCATAAATTGTAGTTTGGGCATCAGCTCTGTGTGGCTAAGAAGCATAGAGGAGTCATTATCTATCCCAGTGTCCTCAATATTATAGGATGCAGAGTATAGTTCTGGCAGTAGTGTGACTGTAAAATTGTGGAACCCAAGGTATGGTTTCCAACTGAAGCATTTGGAAAACTGGAGCAAGACGAGAAGCAGCTTGCTCTGAACTCTGCAATATAGCAACACTCAGGTCTGGAAGAGCTGGTTTGTGTTTGTGTAGTCAGTTTTCCTATTGATATTTTAGCATCTTTTTAATGTGGATGCATGCAAAAAYTGATGTAAACTGTTTCTGGTTTTAGGATTCTGAAGGAGACACTCCACTTCATGATGCAATAAGTAAAAAGCGTGATGATATCCTTGCTGTACTGTTAGAAGCTGGAGCAGATGTTACTATCACCAACAACAATGGGTTTAATGCTCTTCACCATGCTGCACTAAGAGGAAAYCCTAGGTACAGATTTCTTTTTAAAGATTATTTTTTATCTTTTGTAAAAGGAAAGTAAGTGCACGAGAGGTTAGAGCTATGGTATTCTTTCAGAAAATCCTTAAATCTGCATGTAGTTGTATTTCTTAAGGGTTGATGTTGCTTAGCTATGCATCTTTCTAATACTTGGAAGCCCTTACTAGAATGATACTAGGTGTCTGCTCAGTTAATGCTGTATTTGGGTGACTCCAGATTCCTGGAGATATGCCCTGTAGTGGCTGCAAAATGTTGCCAATTAAAGTTTTGATAAATAATTTAATAAGTAAGATTTTGAAGATAGGATCTTGAAGTAGGATAAAAAGTAGTAAATATTTCTACATTTTCYTTCTTGACTATTGGAATTGGCAAAGGGGTACGAGTTTTTTAGAAATACTTACTTGTGGATAATTATTAAGTACACCRTATAGTTATAAAGTGATTTTAGGATTGCATTAGATTTTATTTGTCAGTATATGAAGCAGTTAATTATATTTGCATAGAAGTATATCTAGAAGGAATTTTCTATTTCAGCTTTTATATAGCAACTCAACTGAAAAAGTTCATTTCAAGGCATAGYTTGTTTTATACTAGTTGCATTCTATAGTCTACATTCAATGTCCAGTTAAGATAGTTTTTGAAACCACTGCATAGATAGTACTTTAAAGGAAAGTTGTATTGCTGGTTCCTTATTGCATTGTGGACAAATGGTATTTTTAAAAGCTGTCATGCTAGCAAGACTTCAATAATACTTTATCCTGGGGTGGAGTATTCAGTATAGTTTACACARAAGAAATGTGTGTGTTTTAGCTTGTTTGCAACTAAATTCAGCTTTTCAGTTGAGAGAAGTAAGAGAAATAAGGCTGTAAACTTGTATTAATGTCACCCATATTATATGGGATWAAAATCTAGGTTACTCTCATAGAACATAGCTATCAAGACTGATAGTTAAAAAATAAACATAATTATTTATCTTTGTCTGTGGAATGGAATGMTTTTACAAGGTAAAAGTAGTGGTTGGAAGTGTCGATAGGATGAATAAATGTGTTTAACTTTTTCTACAGTACTCATAAAAGGTCTTTAAGAGAACATGTCAAGGACCAAGTGAGGGGAGCTTATTTTTGGCATTCAGGAGACATTTCTTTCAAGTCTGATTGTGAACTTCTTCCCGTAATGTGAATTCTTCATACTTACATAACAGCAATAGCCAGGAATGCTGTTTCCAACTGTCTCAGTTACCTAGGCTGGGTATTCTTTGTTAGTATTTTACTGCAGTGCATTTCCTCAGCTCTTGTGATAGTTGGTTTGTGTGACCGTGATCTCAATATGAGATACAAGGAAAGTGTGTGGGGAAGAAATGTTCTTCATAGGCATATGCTGGATATTTTTCTGTGGGTGAATGTTTTAGGAGTGGTGGAGGGATCCAAGTTGTAGTTCAGACTGGGTTAGTTAGATGGTTGGTACAATGTGAGGTACAGTGCAGTTTTGACCCAAAACCTTTCTTTCCTATGAAAAGTTTTTATTGGAAGTATAGGAAATGTTTTTCCAATATTAGTGATTTGAATGCTGTGTGGGTTCCCCCCTGGGAAACCTGGGGTTTCATTTAAATATAAAACAGTTGTTTAATGTTCTTTTTTGGTTGCAGTTCAATCTGAGCACTGCTCAAGCATGCAAATTTTGTCTCCATCACAGAAGTAGTAGTTTCATCTAGAATATCTAATGCTCACAGCATTAGATATTTTACCCATTRGCCTGGGAAGAAATGATTGAAAATAAAAACAAAATATATCTATTTTGATTTCTCCCGCCCCCAGCCAAAAATCATTGTAATAGTTTAATTTATTTCGGAGTTTAGTTCTATGTTACTCAACAATTCAGTGATAATAATTTTTTTTGTTGCTGATTTTGTAGTTCTGCCACTTGCCTRTTTCTGAATGAAACCAAAGTTTTTATATTTGCCACTTTATTTTTCTAATTTGATATAGAACAATGGCTATTACTGATCTGTTAAATGCACTAAGCACATGCTATTTAAAACACTGTTAAAAATAGCCTTGTGAACTTCAGCTCGTTGCTGCTGTGGGTCACAAACAGCACATAATRGATTCTGCTTGAAACCTTACTTGAGGACCTATCTTTTCTCATCTAAGCTTCCCTGCTCCACTTAAACTGGAATTTTGGTGGCTTCTGGATGTGGTGACTTATATTAATACAGTGCTCTAAATTCCCCTTGTATTCAATTATATAGATATATTATGGAATTTCTGTATTATTTGATAAAAATTAAATACATATTATATGTATATAAAAGTATATGCAATTGTATGTGTATCTATAATACTAAAAATTAAATACTTGCTGTGCAAGTCCACATCCATCTTCCTTGTTGAGGATAATGAAACAAATGCATGTGTTAAGTGTAYGAGTAAATAAAATGAAATGGATTTCTATAGTATATTTTACAATTGATGTCAAATAGGTATCTGGAGCCAATTTCATTTTTAGAGCAAAACCTCTTATTGCTTGCATTGTGACCTTTATAAATAATTGGGAGATAAATGTCCAGAAGAACYCCCAGAAACGGTGCTGAGGACAACATTCTGAAGTTTTAAATTTTTCATATGAAGACAAATGCATTCTATTCAAAATGTTTAAATATTGGATAAATATTATAAGAAAGATAGCAATTTTTGTTGCATAGCTTAGATTTTACTCAGCACTTTATCTTCCGTGGCAGTTTGGYTGTGTTTTCCACAAGTCAAGGTACAGTGTGTTTTGGAGAGCATCCTATTCTTAGRAGAATATTTCTCTTTTTCAGATTTTGCTTCTCTTTGTACCTTCTGAATTGATACAGAAAAAAGAACTTCTGGGCTTTGTGCTGATGTATAATGTTGAAATGTAGAATGGTTGTTAGTTTATGCTGTGGGTAGCTTTGAACTTGTGCATGGGAGATAGACCTAAAAAGAAATTTTAAATTAAGTGTGAGGAAGTTAAACTTTTATTTAATACATGGTTTCTTGTTCGTGATTTTTAACTGAGTCAGTCATATTAAAAGTGCATTTATTTTGGACTTCTTTCAAAGTACTGTGAGCCTCAAAGCTTGGCAGACTTTGTCCCTTCAGTGTTAATGAGATTTTTTTCAGACAGAAAAAAGGAGAGTGAAATTTGAAAATACTGTACAGATTGGTTATTTTTGCCATGTTATCATCTCTTGCTTATGTTTGATCTATTCGCATACCTGTGACTTCAGATTTTTGAGCTGAAGACATGACTGTGAAGTGTAGGCGTATTTTATATCCGTTGCCCCAGTTAGTTTCAGATTTGCATTGTATCTTGTGAAGAGAGCTTTATTCACTCTGCAGCTAGCATCTTAAATAGAGGCTGCTCTTGAAGCTGACCTGACTTCACACACGTGTTTGATTAGTTCTTCAGAGCAATAAATTCTGCTAGACTTTAAATAAAAAAATTAAAGTCCTGGAGTAAGATGTAGATTTCATGTATTGCTCTCCAACAGCAAGGAGTATGTCGTCTTTACGTTCATAAACTGGCAAGCAGGAGATCGTTGTTTAAAATAGAATTGTAATTTTCCCCGTGGATTTCTTATTATTTAGGAGATCTCCGTGTGTTTTTAGATTTGCAGATGGTTTGAACGGATTGGCAGTGACATTTCTAACTGCAGCGATTTAATTGAGAGKTGGGGTTTCTCACTTCTACTTAGTGTTAATGAGTGTCTTCAGGAAGTGTCTGCAGGACTCATGAGCTGTGTTGTCATGGAGGTCCTCAAAGAGACAAGTTCTGAAGTAATGAGAGTGGTACAATTATTTTCTAAACCAGTCAAAGTGGTTTTTTTCTTTTGTGTTTGCAGTTCTGACAGTAAGTATAGGTTAAGCTTAGTTGAAACTGAGTGCAAAGAGAGCATGTTTTTAAAACCTCTTATTAAAGTATTATGTCAGAAAATGCTTTGGGAGAATACTTTTGTTCAAGTTGGTTTGGAGAAAGAATATAAGCTCCATGAGGAGACCTATAATTAGATGGCAGATTAGCCTGTAGCTGTTGAGGTCAGTGACAAATTTATTATCTTTAAATAGTAAATAATGTGCCTGACAGATACAAGATGGCAAATACAGTTCCTGCCCTGTGGAGTTTCCTTCCTTGTGCAATTAACAAAAGGGGAAAGGAGTGCCCAGAAAGTAAACCTGCCCTACCAGTACTTTTCCTTTTGTTTTTTTGGGGGTGTTTTCTGGTCAGTTCTGCCAGAAAGGGTACCAGACTTGAGGAAAAATACAAGAGACAATAAATCAYTGGGAAATGTTTATTTCACTTCTTACCTATCTTCTTTATAAATATTGTAAGAGATGAATTTTCACTGAATATGGACAAAATATTAAACACCAGTGGCTATTTATTTGCAAACACAGACTTGAAATTTTAGAATACAGAATTTGGTACACTCCTTGTTACCTTGCATCTTCAGGCTGCCTGGAATAGTCAAACTGAACTGCAGAGGACTATGTAATTGCTTTTAGCAGGTTCCRTGTCAGTTTTAAAAATAGAAGAAATCCTGTAGTGATCAATGCATAGCTACAGCTGGTTGAAGGGGACCAAATCCATTGAAGAGGTGATTTGGTTCCATTTTACCAGCTTTAGCAAAGCATTGGAGTGCAGGAAGCTTATAACACATTTTTAAGCACATGAACAGTGCACAAAGAACACGTGGCTTTCTTCTCTGTTACACAATTTGTTTCTTGTCAATGCAAATTTTTAACTCTTTCACTAATTTAGAGATGGCAAAATGAAAAGCTGTATACCAGAAAGGCCTGTACAGGTTTCTTCTGTCCTTGAGTTTTTCCTTAAGGATCTTTGGATGAGTCTCAAATCAAATCATAGTTACAGTTTTAACTTTTTCCTGTCTAGTGTAATAAAATTTTAGAATATATTAGAAACTGTAGCCTTAAAATTTCTAACCATGTAGAGCTCCCTTACTTCTTTAT